TTGGGGGCTGTTATGCAAACATCACTCTATGCCCTTTTTGGACTATGAGTCTATCAACCCCAAGCGAACCATGGTGAACCCTACCTTCCCTCCTTGGGAAGGTGTCACTCCTCATCTACAAGATCACTCGGTTCTAGGTGTCGCCCCTTTTGAAATGTCTTTAAGATTTCATTAATCATCATAGCTTAATTTAGGTCATAGGTTTTAGTCCCTTGTATAGTCATTGTTATTAGATCATTAGGAATTGCATAAGAATATTATTTCATGGCAACCATCATATGTGAGATTAGCATAACATCATATCATGTCATAATAAGACACATAGGTACTTCATAACCAATCTTATATCATATCATCTTAAACATAATCTCACAATCACATAGTAAAGAAATTTCTATTAAACATTATACCAACACCTACTTAGGCTAATCACAAGTCATGCTTCAATTGAACTACATCATCAATCACAAGCGATCATAATTGAAGTAAAGGTTAGGATCATATAGACATACTCAATCTCCTTCAATATTCATATAATGGTGACCGACCAATTACATCCTGCAATAAGTGTAGTAACATCAATTAGTAGTAATTAACACAAGAACTATGTCAATTGCATCATCACTATCCGATTAATATTAATTGATAACATAGGGTTAGGGGAAATAAGGTTCATCATGAATTCATAAAAAATTTGATCCAATCCCAGCAATACATTACCCTAGTCAATCCATATATGAATTAGAATAAATAAAAAAACTCTAATGATCAATTCATACTTCAATTACCATTCATTTACAATCAAGATCCATGATTTGGGGAAATTGGGAAATATGACATGATCTACATGAAAATACATCAATTAATATCAATTAACCCACAATCTACACTTAATTAGTCATAAGCAATCACAATTTATCATCAATTTGAAATTTAGAATAAAACCCATTAGAATTGGAAAACCCCATGGAATTGGGTGACTTATAAATCAACTTTGAAAGGACCACTTAGGGAAAGGAATCCAAAGAGTTAAGAATCTACACATTAATGAAGATTAATGCACGAAATTCAAGTGAAATCCTAGTTAAATAGGTCTTCTTCTTCAAGCATTCTTCTTCATTCAATGGAGGTTTAATAGAAAGATAAAGTAGGGAGAGGTGAGAGCTTTTAGATTTTGCTTTGGGGATTTGATTTGAGTGAGTAAAATGAGGTTGATTTGATTTGTGGATATTGGTATTTTCTATTTATGTTCACTTATCTACTTTCTTTTCTCTACTTTTTCCGTTTACTCATTTATTTATTTCATTTTTTTAATTGATAATTTTACCGAGTCAAATCCTTTGCTCTCTTCCTCTTTTCATATCCACATCAACTCTTTTCATACCCAATTTCGGGTCATCACTCATAATAGGAACTCTCAACTTATTATTTTACACCGAGTCGAGGTACTTAGGGCCAAGACGAGGTCAATATCTGTATCAGCCACCCTCAATATAAGGCTTTTGGCCTAAGTCGAGGGGCATATGTCAAAGAAGGGACTAGTACACAATACACCCAAGGAAGATTGAATCCTAACCGAAGCAAATTTGCCCCGGTTCTCTCTTTAGTGTTCGCGTATCAAGATTTGGTGAAGAAAAGAAAGGTCTAATATAATTTCAACATATTTGGATCATAAAGGGAAAAAACTTCATTTGGTTCACTTCATTTTAGGCTAGTGTTTCCTAATTCGAACAAGGTCCTGTGATCCTTTCCTAGTTGTCTAACACAGATCTTCCATCTCTGTAGGACCAACCTGGAAAGTGCTAACTCAGTACCAACATTTGAACACTCAAACTCCTCACACTCTCTTGACAATTTATTTCCCTATCTGATTATAAGATTTTCCATTTAGGTGATAGTTTGAGAGTCATGCAGTTGGTGCATGTCTATGTCATGATTATAGCCAACACATTCAAGTTATTCTCACCTATTCATGCAAGCAATTTATTAGGATGGAATATCATTCAGACTTAGTGATCATGCTTCATTTTTTGTCCTGTAATACTTTGTACAAGTTATGACATGCCGGTTAAACAGTAAAGTAATTAGTTTCTTGGGGAAAAAGAACAAAGGCAAGAAAACCCCAAAGAGCAGATCGTGAGTTGGGCTACTCAAACTTCAACCTAATAGTCACTTTCCATTTACCCCACCCCTAACAAAATAGCATGCAATTGTACATAATGCATAAAAAAATACAAGTATAGGGTGGTAGGTGAAGCAAATTTGGGGTGCATAGCGCCGACGATCAACAAGTACGTGGGTCCTGTTTCTTGGAACCCAAAACATCAATAGTAGAGCCATCATCAGTTGTGCCCACAACAATATTTGTACATCTGTAGTTCTCCTTTCACTGCTCATTGGTATGGAAGTATAAGTCCCAATAGCTAACTCTCGAGCCCTCATCTGACGGGTCTCCTCATCAATTAAATAGGCTCTCCGGCAGCCTCAACGTCTGGATGCTCCATTTTCCTAGCACATGCATGCTCTCCCTCAGTACTGTGGCTCGAACAATGCCTTTTTTCATGACCACATGGATCAGGCTGCATCTCACTAGGGGCTCTGAAAAGTGTAGCATGCACAGTGTCGTCCGCTAGCTCGAAGGGTGAAGTCTCATGCTTAGTCCCCCTCATCTCAAAAATGTTGTCTACATCAGCAGGCAAACTCGCCACAACCTTTTGAAAAGTAGTAAAGTCAATGGTAGGGGCTGGGCGTGCAAGAACCCACAACTCAAATGCATGTAGGCGTTGGTAAACCGCCTGAATCTACTGGGCCACCCTCTTCTCAATCCGATCATCGGCCTCGGTGATGGAATTTGCATCCAAGGCTATATGCGATGTAACAGGATGGCCATCTGGACCTCTAACTTCTGGACCCTTTCCAATGGGACCAGTGCTGCAGATGGAGAAGTAGACCGGAAAAAATTAGGTGCTGTACTAATAGCATGTGCATACTCATCCTGAGTAGCATTAGCAGGCTCTAAAGTGGCGTGGTCAGCCCCTTGGGCTAACTCTACCATGTCCACATAGTTCTCATTCAGTGGGTACAACTCAACTTTGGTCCCTCTAAAGAGGTGCCGCTACATTGGCCTCATCCCTTATATAACCCATATTAACTGTGCCACTCAGAGGGCAGAGTGTATCACATTGCCAAATGAGAATTTTCACGTCCCTACATAGATGGAATATCAGACACGCAAATGGGCAAGTAGTGGAGGACTTGAAAGCCCTCTCATGTATCACCGTGATCAACAGATTTGCGAAGTTGATCTTTAAACCTTCCATAAAGATTTTCTATTAGTACCGCTCTATCCCAAGTAAGAATATTATATGGTGTTGTCGAAGATAGGCGATGGTAAACTAATAGCTAGAAGAACTTGACTGTGAAAGTGAGGTCATTCATTTTTGTCAGCGCTCTTGGGTCCAACACACTATATGGACCCTCATCGTTAATAGATATATGTTGAACACGTCACCTCTTACCTGCCTTTCTCTACTCCAAGGTCCTCTAAAATTGGCCAGTTTTGACTCTCTCAGTTCGAGACAACGGACGTACAGGATGTCCTGTTGATTAATCAATGGATCGTAGTCCAATTCTATAGTCTATTACTTAGAATTATTCTTAAAATCTATCACAGCATGGTCTTTGAGTGAAACGATAGACGTGCAGAATGTCCTGTCGATCAATTGATGGACCGTGGTCAACTTCTATCGTGTCATACTTAAACAATTTACAAGTGGGTTGATCGACAAGCCCTAACGATGTCCCATTGATGGGGTCTTATGTTGTTTGCCTGACACAGTTTTCGGGCCTTGTTTTCAATTTCCCATTTTAATATCTTTGAATACGCATACAAGTTTACCCAGCACAAAACAACAATCAAATGACATTTTTATCATTCTTAAGAGTTCAAATTCACAAGATTCATGCTTTAATTCATCGATGCTACAAAACTCTCAGTCAAAGTGCCTATCATTACTATTATAAACCTATTTTAACAAGATTACACCACAACCCATTCACTTTCTATCAATCGGATGGACATTTTGTACTTGTTTCAACAAGCAAGAGCAACCAAATTTTGTCCCTAAATAAAGACCCACTTTCTACTTTTTGTTTTTAAAAATATATAAACAAGAACTAATAAAGCAAAGGGAATTGAAATACCTGATAATCGTAGTGAGTGATTGGGAGGGTAGCCGTTCAAGAACCTATGTGCCCGGCTTTAACACCGACCAGAGAAATCAATGGGAATGATAGGGAATTAGGGGAAGAAAAGGGTTTCAGGAATCTGGATAATTTTAAGTAATCTAGATATTATGTTAGGAAAAGATGTGATGGTTTATAAAAAAGGAAGGAAACAAGGGAGGAGAAATGGTTGGGAAAGAATTTCAAAAGATTTTGGAGGTTAATGAACAGTTTTGAGTTTTAATATAATTGGCAGGGTTGGGTCGGGTCACTGGAACTTAGGACCGATGAAACCCCGTCGATGGACCATCCACTGGAACGTTGTTGCAACTAGAATTAGAAAAATTTTGAGATATACCTGGGACCTACGGACACCATCGACGTTCTGTAACGATGTCCCATCAATGAGGCCCATAGATCAATAAACCAGATCATTTTCTGTAGAATTTTGGTTTTGATCCCTATAAATATAACATCTCTTAAGCTATTCTTTTTGTGTATTTCTAGACTCTTTGGCGACATGGACCCTATATCAATCTCTAGCCAACACTAATAATATAAAAATAATACATGAGGATGAACAAAACAAAACGAAACAAAAAATATAACTATTTTTACAAAGAAAATAGAAATCTATCGTTGGCTAGAAGATACTCATTGGGTTGCCTCCTAAGAAGTGATTGATTTAGCATCGCTGCACGATGCAAGATCCTTGATTACTCAGACTTTATAAAGGAGATATGCCTCAATCACTACATGGACACACTTTGCATACCCTAGGTGATCTTGATCCTTTGTTCGTTGACCATGAACTTTACACTCTCTTTATTCTCCAACTCAACCACTCCATGTGGAAATACTTTAGTGATAAAGAATGGTCCCATCCACTTTGATTTGGGCTTTCTTGCAAACAAGCGTAGCCTCGAGTTAAATAGAAGTACCAAGTCCCCAATTGCAAATTCTATCTTTTTGATCTTTTGGTCATGGTACTTCTTCATCTTCTCTTTGCGTATGGCTAAACTTTCATACACTTTTAGGAGAAACTCATCAAGCTCATTTAACCCATTAAGTCTCCGATCCATGGCTTCATTCCAATCCAGCTTCAGTTTCATCATAACCCACATGGCTTTGTGGTCTAATTCGATTGGCAAGTTACAAGCCTTACCATACACAAGTTGGTATGGATACATACCTATGGGAGTATTATATGCAGTCTGCTAGGTCCAAAGAGCTTCATCAAGCCTCTTTGACCAATCTGTTATATTAGCATTCACCGTTTTCAACAGGATTTGCTTTGTTTCTTAATTTGATTCCTCTACTTGCCCACTCGTCTGTGGATGATAAAGAGTGGTCACATTATGGAAAACCCAATATTTCTCCAATGTCCCCTTGAACAATTTATTGCAAAAGTAAGATCCACCATCACTAATAATGTCCCTAGGTGTGCAAAATCTGGAAAAGATGTTCTTTTCAAGAATGCGCTGACACTCTCCCTTAATTGTTAGAAATCGCTATAGCTTCACCAATCTCGACACGTAGTCCACCACCATGAGTGTATACTTTATCCCATGAGAACTCACAAACGGCCACAAAAAATTAATTCCCCAAACATCAAACAACTCATTCACCATAATAGGATTTAGATGAAGGTGTTGCCTCTTCGAAATTCCTCCATCTCTTTGGCACTTATCACATGAATTGGAGAACTTGTGAGAATCTTGGTGAATGGTCAGAATATAGTACCCACAAAGCAAAATCTTGTGGGCAGTCCGGATACCAATATGGTGCCCACCCACAGGCGAGGAGTGACATGCCTCCAAAACACTTAATATCTCAACTTCTGGCACACGACTTCGAATACGCCCAAGTCTCATCCCAAAATTACTTTTTCACATACTGCATAATTTTCTTCCGTTGATGGAAGGACAAGTCCAATGGGACTATATCACTAGCCAGATTATTCACATAATCGGTGAACTGTGGAATCAAATCATGAGAAGCGCCCAATACATGCTCATCAGGGAAGGTATCATCAATTTCAGCCTTTTTACTCAATTCTCGCATAGCTTCATCCTCTACCCTAGACAATTTATCGGCAACTTGAATTTCAGTCGCTTCTCTATCTTTCAGATCAAAATCAAACTCTTGCAATAATAGCGCCCATCTAGTCAATCATGGCTCGCATCCTCCTTTGCCATAAAGTACCTCAAAGCGTAGGTATACACTATGACCCTTGTTCGAAGCAAATAGGAATGAAATTTTTTGAAAGTAAATACCACCGAAAGAATCTTTTCTTCAGTAGTTCTTTTGCGCTTCATTCAGGGCCTTACTTTTATAATAACTGGAGTGAAGGATTTTATCCCTTCTTTGTCCCAACACGACGCCAAGAGCAACCGCACTAGCATCACACATCACCTCAAATGGCTCACTCCAATCTGAGAAATAATAATGGGCACGGACACCAACTTCTCCTTCAACTCTCCAAATGCTTTCAATGAAATTTATCAAAATAGAACTTATATTCCTTCCCAAGTAATTTGCAGAGAGGATGTGAAAATTTTGAGAAATCCTTAATAAACCTCCGGATAAAGCCTGCATAACCTTGAAAACTTGTCACATCTTTTACAAAGATGGTCGGGGAAAGCCTCTCTATAACTTAAACTTTCACTCGATCAACTTATATCCTCTTTTCCGAGATGTGATGGCCCAATACTATAACTTCTTTCACCATAAAGTGACATTTTTTCTTATTAAGAAAAAGATTGCAATCTTCAAATCTTTTGAGAACCTCATCCAAGGGCTTCAAACACCGATCAAAGGAGTTCCCAACAACTCTAAAATAATCTATGAAAACCTCAATAGCATCCTCCAACTATCAGAGAATATCAACATCATACATCGTTGGAAGGTGGCTGGTGCATTACATAACCCAAACTACAACCTCTTGAAGGCAAATGTTCAATAAGGTGATGTAAAAGCAGTCTTCTCTTGATCCTTCGGAACAATATAGATTTGATTGTACCCCGAATAGCCATCAAGAAAACAGTACCATCCTTTTCCTGTGAGTCTATCCAGCATCTAGTCCATAAAGGTCATAGGAAAATGATCCTTCTCAGTCCATGCATTAAACTTCCGGTAGTCCATACACACTCTCCATCCGGTTACCGGCCTCATTAAAACAAGCTTGTTCCTCTCATTAGGCACTAGTGTCATTCCCTCCTTTTCGGGCACACACTAAACAGGGCATACCCAACTACTATCAATAATATAGTATATGAATCCGGCGTCCAACCACTTAATGATATCCTTCTTTAATACTTCTTGCATGGGTGGATTCAACCATCTCTGGTGCTTAATATTTGGCTTATGCTCGAGCATGAGTTGGATTTTGTGTGAACAAATACTTGAAGGGATCCCAATAATGTCCGCAATAGTCCAACCAATGGCGCATTTGAACCTCTTTAGAACCTCTACCAGACACTCTACTTGTTGTTCATTAAAATTCGGTGCAATTATTATCGGCAATGTGTCATTCTCTCCAAGAATACATACCTCAGATGAGGTGGTAGAGCCTTAAGCTCTAGTTTTGGGGCATCTTTAATAGATGATCTCGCAGGTGTATACTCGCAATGCTTCATATCTATCTCCAATGTTTTTGGTTTGGACCTATATTCATTCCGTTAAAGTGCTGCAACCAAGGAACCTTTCTCTTCAATACTATCACTTGAAAATTTATGATCACTTCCACTGAAGCCTCGACACCTAGGCATTCTTCAATTTGTACCTCAAACACACTCTCAACCTTATAATATATAGCAGATACCATTTGGATCTCATCACTCTGTTTCATAGACCTATAGATGTTGAATGTTGTTTCTTTATTGTTCAACCTTAACTTCATTTGCCTATGTCCATATGAACCGAGGCACGACCACTGGGAAGGAAAGGCCTCCTAAGAAGAATAGGAACCTCAAATTCGACCTCACAGTGAAGAATCAGAAATCGGTTGAAAATATAAATGACTCCACTTACATGAGCACATCATGGAGTATCCCAATGACGTATTCATTATTTGATCAGCCATCAGTAATCACATTGCAATAGGATTTAGGTCACCCAACCCAGTAGGCTTTGGGTCACCCAAACCCAATTTCTTACAAATGGAAAGAGGCATGAGGTTTATGATAGCACCTAGATCACATAGTGCTTTAACAAAATATAATAATCTGATGGTACATGGAATAGTGCAAGCATTCAGATCTTTCTTTTTCTGCAAAAGAGACCATGTAGCAATAGCACTACAATAATGCATTCAGTCATCATCCTCAAAAGTTACCGATCTCTTCTTTGTAACCATATCCTTCACAAAGTTAGCATAATAAGGTATTTGTTCTAGAGATTCTAGCAAAGGACACTGATGAAAATTTGTTTCAACATGGTCATAAATTGTCTATATTTACAATCCTCAATCTTCTTCACCAATCTATGAGGGGATGGTGGTGGAGGTCTATTAATGGGTAGCACTTTCTGAGGTACCTCTACTTGTTTCACCGTTTTCCAACCAATTCGCCACTAGTTTCCACAACGTCTTCATCTCTTCTCATCTCATATTCTACCATAGATGGCATAGGTTGATGAATAGCTTGCTTACGTCCTTGAGTAGTGAGTGTCATGCAATGTCCATCATTTTTAGGATTTTGAATAGTGTTGCTAGGAAGAGTGCTTGGTTGGCATGGGTTCACAGTAGTGGATTATTGGGTCATTTGAAACTCAAGATAGGGCCTAATCTTGTCATTTCTGTTACCATAGTTACCCCGGTTAAAGTTGTTGTTGCGGCTTAGTTTCCATCTCGAAGATACTGCCCTCTCTATTCTAGTTACCATAGTTCTGACCTTGATTTTCTCGACCTTCATGCAAATTCTCCTGATTTAAACGGTCACATTCGGGTTTACCCCCTAGACGTAACCGGTGTTGTTTTCATCTTTGAGGACTAAGACTAGCCTCTTAGTTGACATCATTACATTCATAGGTCAAATTTAGGGGAAGATTAAAAACTTTTGATTACTTTGAATTGGAGGTTTACATAGACCTCTACGCACGCGCACACACACACACACACAGATATATATATATATATATATATATATATATATCGAGTATACATAGACCCTTCGTATAGGAAGATTACTTAGTCTTATTTTATGTTGTACATAAGTAACTTAAATATAACATAGTCATAATAGCCGTATTATCTCATAACCATCTAATAGGAGTGTAATAACTTGGGCATAGCCCATACATCAAAGCAACATGGGATATACAACGTTTCATACTAAATGGAAAAGAAAGAACAGAATAGTCTTGAACTCAAAACAATTCCGTAAGCTAGATAGTGGCATCGCCCTCGAAAAGTGAGGACCTACCCTACTTGGATGAATCAGATATCAAAGCCTTCTTCAAGTCGTCTTCAAAACACTTCAACGACCGGAACCTAAAATATTGGGGAAAAGGAAGAATTGGGGTTAGTACACCACTTGTACTAAGTATGAGACCATATGCATACATACTTTTAAATCATGCTAGGAAAAAGGACATTTCATAAAGATATGCAATTTACTTTGAAAGCACTTATGCATATTCAACAAGACCATACTAATCAATAAGACATGTTAATTACGTCATAAGAATGTACATCACAAGACCACCAACATCAAAACTAGTATGAGATTCTTTTTATTTCAAGTTGCATGATTTTATAACTAGATGGTTGATGTATTAGCAATGAACTTCCTTACAAATGCGTGTTTATATGAATTCTATGTATACTTCAGATATAAACAAAATGTTTTAAATTTTCCAGTAAAATTAACCGTACGAATGTGATCAATGTAAGAAGAGGCTTGTCTGCGACCTCTGAAAGGTCAACAACGCCAGTTGCGATTAGGATTTAAGAATTTTGGTCGTGACAATTAAAGCAATACAATTACCCATGACCCCTATCAAGTCAGCAAGTGAAATGACTAAGCAAAGCCCTATAACCTTACTCAATCAAGTAACCCAACAAGAATCATTACTAACACCCTACTTCACATACCATAACATTCAATAATACATATCATCATAC